CACTGTGCTGGGGAGTACCTGGGGGGGTCACTGCCTTGCATGGGGGTACCTGGGGGGGTCACTGCCTTGCATGGGGGGTACCTGAGGGGGTCACTGCCTTGCATGCGGGGCATTGTGGGGGTCACTGCTGTGCCTGGGGTGCTTTTGGCTGTCGCTGTGTTTCCAGGCTGGGGCGGGGATGTCAGCGCAGGGCGGCGGGAGGCCTCCTGTCGCACTGTGGACGTTTGCGATGTCATTGCGCTTGCGTGCCGGAGTGGGGTGATGTCGTAGGGTGATGGCAGAAGGTCGTGAGTTTGTCCCGCCAGAGCAGCCCGAGGGAAGCGGCAGACTTTGTCTGAGGGCCGTGGGACCCGTCCTCGTTTTCTGTATTTTCAGTGACAGACTAACCCTCTGAGACTTTCTGGCATGAAATGGTGCAGACTGTGGTCACCCTCCTTTTTCCCCTGGAGGCTGCCGCCTGTGTGGAGACCACAGGGCCCAGAATGAAATACCTGAGCGTTGTTTCTATGGGCCTGTCTACTCAGCAGAGACAAACCTGCTGCTAGCCCATGCCATCTGACTTGGGCTCCTGGGGCTCGGGCTGTGGGGCTGTTTCATGGCTGAGAAGATTTCTGGGCTTGGGCTGCAGGACCCTGCATGGTGGGAGGATCCCAGAGCTTTGGCTCCAGCCTCAGCTCCGAAGTCTACCCAGCCAAGCCTCATGAGCTCTGTATGACATGCTAAACTCCTTGGTCTGCTCAACCACCCTGCTCTGCAGGAAACCGCTAAGTGTGTGGTGATAAAATACACCCTGGAGCCGTCTGCTTTTCAACGTGCCCCTCAGTCTTCTCTCCCAAGGCACTTCACTCTGTGTCATCCCGCCGCCTGGCATTGTAACACTGTCTTTGTTCCCTAGGATCTAGAGCTGTCTAAGGTATAACCATGAGTTCTCCTCTTTCCTCCCTGGGAAAGCACCGCAGAGTCCCACTGCAGCTACAGAGTCCAGGGTAAATGAGACATGAGGGCTCTTTCTGCTTTAAGATTTGTGGCCACCCTTGCTTAGTTGTGCAGTTTTGATCCCAGCTGCTTTTGTCCTCACGCTATACGAGGGTTCTTCTTTGGTCTTGATCTTTCAATATTCTGGGTCCCATTGAAGTAAGTACAAGGTAACGACAGTCAGTACCACTCTGGAGTCACTCCGCACCTTGCAGAATTGAGCCCTAAAATCCAGAATTGTGCCATCCTGATTCCAGCTGTGAGCCCTGATTCCACGGTGAGGCCCTAAGTGATCCAGAGCAGTCTCTGCAGTTACGATAGCAAGAATTACCCGGGGCTCTTGGTTCTATGGCCTTGAGGCACAAGCTGGTCCCCAGTTGAGGCCAGAAAGACTATTGCACAATTCTGCGTAGCAACAGTTGGCCGAGTTTGTTGTTTGTCTTCTTTTCACTTTTTCCTTATGTGAAGTAGCTTCCAGTGATCTTAATTACTGTTAAGCAACTCCAGATATGTTGTTTGTGTGTGAGCTCACTCATCACAGACAGCAAGTGGGGGCTTGTTTGATTTATCTGTGTGGTGAACTGGGGAGAAAGTAGAGGTGGATGTATTTCAAGATTATTTTTTATGTAATTTACAAGTCTCTGATACCTAAAACCAATTATGCAGCAGCTAATTAATCGGTCTGCTGTTTGTTTTCTGTATTCCCTATTCTTACATGCAGGAAAAGGACTCTCTCGTTTAAACTGAGTGCCCACAATGGTAAGTAAGGCCTCTCTCTTTCCTTTATGTGTTTTGCATTTAAGTGTTATGTGCTTAGTTCTTTTCTTGTCCTTGATTTCTCTCTCCTTCCCGCATGTGTCAGAAATCAGCTTAGTAAGAGCTAGTTTTCCCAATCCCAGGATTTGTTAGAACATGCAGACTCTCTCAAATGCTTTACAATTCCAAAGCTAGCTGCTTCCCTCATTCTTCCCACACTTGGCACACCAATCCCTCTCATTAACGTTAACAAAATTACAAGTAACATAAATAAGATTTTTAAAATCAATATGATATGAGAGAGAACTAGAACAGTTTTGTCTTTGAAAAACATTAAGCTTTCTAGTGCTCTCTTTTTGCACCGCTGTCTTGTGGCTTTGCTACATGGACTCTGGATGGGTTTGCAAGGCCACAAACACTAATCCTGGCTGCCGTCTCTTTTTTTCTGAAACAAATTCAGTTCCACTGCTCTCCCCTCTCACCCCCAGCAAAAGCTGCTGGAACCTAGCGCCATGGTCTCTGTCTCCCAGTACAGTTTTGTGTTTGATCTTTGTCTGTTTAGAGTGGACCCTCCTCACAGCGTGGACTGTATTATCTTTTGAGTACTGTACTCTCTCTCTATGCTTCGTAATCATCGCTTTGGAAGTCTTTGGGTGGACGAATGGGACCATGTCACACTTCGTACCTCACCCTCTCCTTCCCTAAAGATACATCCCTGCCAATGTTCTCTCTAATCTTTTCCACCCCTGTGCGGGATACTTTTTATGTGAACCAAGGCCTAGGAGTGGGCACTCTGCTACTCAGCTGTGCAGCACTGGAATCGCCCTTGAGCAGCTGCACAAACACACTGCCCCGGGAACACTGACCCCAGCATGCTCTTCAGAAGAGCTTGGTGAGGCTTCATCTAGCAAGTGACCCCGGCCCTGCCTCTCATGCTTTCTTTGCCTCTTGGATTCACAGAGGATGAAGCTATGCTGCTGAATGACATCCTGTCTCCTCGAACACAGATTCCGGCGCAAGCCGTTTCCCCTTCCTGCTCAAAGGGAACGGCAACAAAAGCAAGTACCCAGGGTAACGTCTCTGACAGGCCGTTGGCCAGATACAGCGCTTGCCTCAGGGACACCCCTGCCTCTGCTAGCCATCTAGACTCAGCCCCCAGGCCTGGAACTTTTGTGGTCCACAGCGGGCGCTTCATTAGTGAATCCAGCCACAGAGTCTGGTGCTCGTCTTGCATCCCTGAACGCTTACACAGCGTGCCCGTTAGTAATCCAGGGATGCATCCGCAATCTCTGCAGCAAGGTCCCTGTCTGCCTAGCATCCAGTTATGCTGTGCGATGACCAGGCCAGGGTTCCTGCACCGTGCCTCAGCCCAGCTCATATTGTACTGGATGATCAAAAGGGTTCCCCTTGGTCAAATGAAGCCTGTAATTCTGTAAGTGCTTTTTTGGATGATGTGTTGCACTTGTGCTTGCAGGGGCAGCTCCGACTGACATGGAGCTCATGTCCTCCATGATGCAAAAAATTGCTTTGTTGGAACAAAAAGTAAAGAGCCAAGCACAAGAACTCCAGCTGAAGGTAAAAATGCCCGTCTCTGTGGAGCCTCATTTGAGAGCCATGAGAGCAGTTCCGGCTCTGCTAGCCAGAGCCATGATCACACTGAGTCTGGAATTAAACAAGTATCAGAGGGGTCGCCGTGTTAGTCTGGATCTGCAAAAGCAACAAGGAGTCCTGTAGCACCGTATAGACTAACCGATGTATTGGATTTGCATAAGCTTTTGTGGGCAAAGACCCACTTCATCAGATGCATGCAGTGGAAATTTCCAGAGGCAGGTATAAATATGCAGGCCAGAATCTGGCTAGAGATAATGAGACAAACCTTGGTGCCAGCTCTGCCCACATATCTACACCAGTGACACCATCACAGGACCTAACCAATCAGCCACACCATCACTGGCTCATTCACCTGCACATCTACCAATGTAATATACGCCATCATGTGCCAGCAATGCCCCTCTGCTATATACATCGGCCAAACTGGACAGTCCCTACGCAAAAGAATAAATGGACACAAATCAGGTATTAGGAATGGCAATATACAAAAACCTGTAGGAGAACACTTCAGTCTTCCTGGACACACAATAGCAAATTAAAAGGTAGCCATCCTGCAGCAAAAAAACTTCAGGACCAGACTTCAGAGAGAAACTGCTGATCTGCAAAAGCGACGAGGAGTCCTGTGGCACCTTATAGACTAACTGAAGTGTAGGAGCATAAGCTTTCATGGGCAAAGACCCACTTCGTCAGATGCATGTAGACTGCATGTAGAACTGCTGATCTGCAAATTTGACTCCATCAGCTCAGGATTAAACAAAGACTGTGAATGGCTAGCCAATTACAAAAGCACTTTCTCCTCTCTTGGTGTTCACACCTTCAGATCAGCTGCTAGAAGTGGGCCTCATCCTCTCTGATTGAATTAACCTCCTTATCTCTAGCCTGATTCTTGCCTGCATATTTATACCTGCCTCTGGATATTTCCACTACATGCATCTGACGAAGTGGGTCTTTGCCCACGAAAGCTTATGCTCCAATACATCAGTTAGTCTATAAGGTGCCACCGGACTCCTCGCCGCTTTTGGAATTAAACAGTGTCACTGGTCTGGAGACAAGGCTTGGATCTTACTAATGACAGAACCTGCTCACTAGACAGGCCCAGCTGCTGGCACCACATGGCTGTTAGGGGTGGTGTGGCTGGGGACAGTCCCTGCAGTGCTGAGGCTGCAATGAGACTAGTTACAAATGAGCCCCAACCAATGTTCCCCCTAATCTTTTCCATCCACGTGCAGAATAATTGTTGTCTGTGCACTGAGGCATGTGCAAATGTGCACCACCAACAGAAACAAAACCTAGCTGTGGGTGCTCTGCTAATCAGCTGGGCAGCATATGAACCTCTCCTGAGCGGCTGCACAAGCACCCAGCTTCCAGGAAGCACTGGCCCTAACACCTAGTGTCATTGGGTCGTCTACTTTGGATCTTTTTCTTCCTTCCGTTTCACATGTTCGAGTTCAGAAGGCCAGAGTCTCCCTGATGCAGACACGTCTGATGGAAACGGGGATGGCTAGGACCCTCTAAATGTTTAGTGCAAGTCATGTTTCCAGTAGCTAGACAATCAGGGCTCTCTCCAGATTTGCCAGGCGCTCGTTACCGGCTTCGCTTTTAGCTGCTCCCGGGGGGGTGGGGACTGGCAAGAGAGCACGGGCACAAGCTGCATAACTGGACAGTGGGTGAAATGGGAGAGAGGAGCTATCCTGGATCGCTGCTCCCCAGCTCAAGCAGGTAGAGAGGTGACTTGGTCCCTAGCCTGCTCCTGGGACTGTGCAGGTTGGTGCTGTCCCCTTACTCAGGGCTTGTGGTAACTGCACAGTTCAGCCTGGTGTGATTCTGGGCCAGGTCAAACCCTTTCTAGACTTTATCTGGGTATAGTTAATCGGCCTGGCTTCTGGAGCAGGGTGGCTACGTCAGTCGGGCTGTGAGATCCTCCGTGGAAAGGCACCAAGTGGATTCATGACTTTGCCTTTGTTCTTGGGCCTGCAGACTAGAAAGGCTGCTGAACTTGAGAAGCAGGTGAAGGCCCTTCAGAAAAGGAATGGTACGTTGTTCTGGCCACCTCGTCCTGGGTGTGGCTTCCGTGCCCTGATCCTGCTGCTGGGGACCTCAGCACAGCCCCTTCCTGTGGGAAGCCCAGTTCCAGGAGCTGTGAATGATGCAATCTCTCGCTGCTTCACTTGGCAGCAGGTTTCAGTTCATGCACACGTCTACCTGCTGCAGAGGTTGAGGCAGCTGGTCTCTTTCACTGTGGTAATGCTTTCCCACAAGTCAGAGCCCAAGCAGAAGTTGGTCACAGAACCGTGTGGTGTTCAGAAGAAATGAAACCAGGGTTCAGATTTGAAGTGACTGAAGAAAGGAACGGGCCTTTCCCTGGGTTAAAAAATCAAAAAGGGCCCCTCTTGGCGATGGTTTACTGAGGGTCTCCACGGGCTCCCACGGCCAAGTTTTTTCCTTGCCCCACATGTGATCTAATGCCAAATGTGATCCAGCCTGGAGTGAATCTCTTCCTAGAGTTGACTCCCCTCATGACGATCCCTGGGAATTCAGTGGTTCCCTCGCGCTGAGCCCAGACACGGTGGGTGGGGTAGGTGCCTAAACTCCAGCTGTGGGTACCTGCATTTGGCCACGGGCTCCCACGGCCAAGTTTTTTCCTTGCCCCACATGTGATCTAATGCCAAATGTGATCCAGCCTGGAGTGAATCTCTTCCTAGAGTTGACTCCCCTCATGACGATCCCTGGGAATTCAGTGGTTCCCTCGCGCTGAGCCCAGACACGGTGGGTGGGGTAGGTGCCTAAACTCCAGCTGTGGGTACCTGCATTTGGGAGTTCACTTGGCACCTACATTTTTCTGAGTCAAATTTCCCGAAGCATCTGTGTTCCTGCCTCTGGGCATGTGCACTGCTGCCTCCGGGAGTAGGGAACATCCCCCTTGCCTCCCACAGGCAGGGTTTATCTCGCCCATCATGTGTTCAGTCTCTCCTGCACAGCAGAGTGGATCCAATTCACCGGCTGCTGTCTTCTGAGGAGGTTCCTAGCTCCACGCTGGGCCGGGCGAGTCACTCCTGCAGCATCTCTGCAAACAGCGCCATTTACATGTCAGCTCATTCTGTGCAGCGCATTGCCCAGAAATACCAGCCAAATGTTTTTCATCCGTCCCCGTCGTTTGGGAGGTGATTCCGGCTGACCTGTCAGCGGGCAAAGAGTTCTGGCCCACTTCTGTGCCTGGCGACTCCTGGTGCAGTTCTTCTGCACAGGGTGCCGAGGGTCCCTGCGCTGCCTGACCCTGCCTAGCTCAGCTCTTGTCTGAAGCTTTTTATAGCAAAAATCAAACCCCTCCGGTCTCTTTCTTCTGCAGATTCCCCCGAGTCAAGCAGGACTGAGGAACTGGAAGCGATGTGTCGTCAGCTGCAGAGTCGGGTTTGGGAAATGGAGGTGAGCTCTTCTTTCTGTGCGTACCTGTTCAGTTCTTCCTAAGCTTCCAGAAGGGCCTAGTGTCCGTGTATCTTGTCAGCCATTCCATGGCACCCAGAGCAGGGGTTTTCAAACGACGGGGCGCGACCAGGACCGGGGGGTGGGATGTCGGGCGCTGGGGCTCGGTGCTGCAGGGGAATCAAGTGAGCAGTGGGGGGTTCTAAGGCAGCACCCTGCTGTCCTGACCCCACAGACTGTGCTGTGCCCCAGAAGCAGCCAGCAACAGGCCCGGATCCAAGGAGGTGTGGATGGGAGAGCACACAGGGCTCCATGCACTGCCCCTGCCCTGAGCACTAGCTCCACACTCCCGCTGCCTGGGACTCCTGTGGGCTGGGAACCTGCTGCCAGCTGCTTCTGGGGGCAGCGTGGTCTGCAGTGCCAGGAGAGGCAAGAAGCTGCCTTAGCCTCCCCACTGCACCATTGACCGGGAGCCGCTCACTATAAGCCCCCCGCCTCAAAGCTGCAGCTTCCTCCTACCCCCCAAAGCTCTCATCCTCAGCCCTGCTCTAGAGCAGCCCACACTCTAGTCAAATCATGGTGGGTCGTGGGAATCAACTAATTTCTTCAACGGGGTCACGAGAAAAAAAAGTTTGAAAATCGCTGGGCTAGAGCATGTCTTCCAGAACGGCCTCTAGTCTGGCGCTGAGGACTTCAGGAAGCGGAGAATCCCTCGTGCTGGTGAGCTGTGCTCACGTGTGATAGGCCCTCGTCAGTAGCCTGTGACCAGGACTGCGGTGCGGGGAGTGAAGAGCTGGGTATCCAGATGGCAGCGCGGGGAACATGATTGACGCTGCTGCTGCTTTGCGTTTTACCCCAAGGCTGCTCTGCTGTTATCCCCATTTTAAAGAGTGGAAAGCTGGGTCCCGGAGAGGTTAAGCTGCTGCCCAAGCCCAGAGTCAGTGGCTCTTGATAATGTTCAGCTGTTTGATATGGAACCTCGACAATTGATCATTGTCTTCGGTCACCTGGTGCTGGCCACTGTGGGCAGACAGGCTACTGGGCTAGATGGACCTTTGGTCTGACCCAGTACGGCCGTTCTTATGTTCTTATGACACTTTCCACTATCGTGCAAAATTGGTATCTGACCGACCCGGCCTGGTGATTGGAGCAGGGAACTGGGAGTCAGGACTTCTGGGTTCTCCCCGCAGTGCTGCCACTGACTTCACTGGGTGGCCCAGAACAAGTTTCCTAACCTCTCTGTTGTTGTTTTCCAGGGTGTAAAATACGAGTAGCTGTCCTTAACTTAATTGATTTGGGGGCTTAATAAATGAATCTTTGCGATGTACTCTGAGGCCCTTGGGAGAAAGGGGCTAAGTAAATATAGCTCGTTGCTGACACCTGGCTAGATTGCTTGCGTTTTTAATAGCTCTTCTACACAGACACTTAGCTGCCCCCTTTTGATCTGAAGAGCTCTGTTTCTGTTTCAATTCCTCCTTTTGCTATTCCAAGTTAACTGGCTGACTCGGTAGAAGTGAAGTCTTTGCAGTGATCGGTATCGTGATAGACTGAGTACTGAACGATGGATCATTGTGAATCAATTCAGGCAATTTTTGGATTCCAGGAAATGCTGCTCTTCCTGCTCAGTGTGTTTTCTCCCCTCCCCCACCCCCCATCCTGTGACAGGGTCAAACCTGTTCAAGGCGACACACATTTTACAGCTCCCATTCCTAGCCTTTTAGAGTTCCATAGTCCCCCAGGCTAGTTCATCCTCTTCTCCCCTTCCCATGCAGCAGTTTCTGAATGATTATGGATTGATTTGGGTTGGAGAGAGGCATGAACAGCTGGAAGAGTTGAAATCATTGACGAAGCAGGAAAATCAATCATCAAGGAGCCTCTGGAAACCAGGTAAAGCAGAAATGCCCTTTGCTGAGGCACACAGCCTGCCCCTCATGGGGTGTTTAAAAGGCCTAATATTCTCCAGATTGGAAAATCAGTCGTTCATGGCATGATAGGCCTCGGTAGCTCCTCTTGAACTGCTCCATTGGGGCCAGCCTTGTGCCGAGATCTTAGCCTGAGGGGACTCATGCAGTTCATAGAATCCTAGGGCTGGAAGAGACCTCAGGAGTCATCAAGTCCAGTCCCCTGCCCAAGGCAGGACCAACAAAACTTAATCAAGCCAGCCAGGGCTTTGTCACGCCGAGACTTAAACACCTCGAGGGATGGAGATTCCACCCCTCCCTAGGAACCTGTCCCAGCGCTTCGCCACCCTCGCAGTTCTTGCTGTTGACATGGCATCGTAGATGGGGCTGACCCGGGAAGAGGCACCGTTCCACCTCAAGTGCCTGGTCCAAAAGCCGGTTTAAGTCACGTGTTTGGCTTGTTAGTTTGTTTTTACAGGTACACGTACGTGACCTTTCCATTCCCTTTAGTCATGTCTCTGGACATAAGGGAGGAGACTGTTCAAAGGCCCGAATGGGAGATAAGCCCCCAAGCCCCTTTGGAAGCCTCCTCTCTGTTCTCTGTAGATCAGGCTTTCCCTGTATTGCCCTCCCAGTGTGCTTCAGCTCAGACCCGCAGAGCCCTCTTCTAGGCTCAGGGCTGAGGGGACCTTGGTGTCAGTGGTGTCCCCCGGGCTCTCTGTTGGGAAGGGGCCTGTTAGGAATGACAGCTTGTGAGCACTGAACCCCCAAATCAACCTCCTGGCCTTTAGGGCAAGACAAACAGAGTGCCGGGCAGGCACAGGTACCTTGCAAATTGGCAGGCCTGGAAAATCCTATCTGTAAATGACAAGCCATGGAGCCTGGGGGAGGATTTTGTGTGGTCAGAGCCCAGGTTGGAAGCAGTTTATTGTAAGGGTAAAGATACCCAGTACAAATCCGAACAGCTTGGTGTGGGGATGAAAGGGCCGACAGCCCAGGGTGCAGGTTAGAACCCTGCACGTTTACATCCAGGGGTATCCGCATCTGTGAATATCTGCAGTTCTTTTTTGCGGATGTGGATACAAAATGTTGTATCTGTGCAGGATAAGTCCTGCAGATTGTCAGTTGCGAACATCCTTCCCTGTTATGATTTCCTCATGGTGATCCTGGGGCCCACACCCTGGAAACCAGGTAAAGCAGAAGTGCCCTTTGCTGAGGCACACAGCCTGCCCCTCATGGGGTGTTTAAAAGGCCTAACGTTCTCCAGATTGGAAAATCAGATCGTAGGGATTTATTAACCAGTCGAGTTCATGGCATGATAGGCCTCGGTAACTCCTCTTGAACTGCTCCATTGGGGCCAGCCTTGTGCCGAGGTCTTAGCCTAGAGGGGACTAACCCCAGCCCATTTCAGCAGAAAGGAGACTTGCAGCTCCAGGAACATGTTAGTAACTGCATATATTTCATAAATCCCATTTCTTCTGGGCCAGCTGTCGGGAGGGAAATCTGCAGAAGCAGCCTCCATACCTTGAGTGACTGGAGCCTAATTCCTGTCTCAGCTAACACAGGCATAAAAATCAGGCCCTCTCCGTATGTATTCATTGCATTGCATTGCTTTGCCCTAGTGCCCGACCTCATCAAAATGCAGGACAATGTAGCACTTTAAAGACTAACAAGATGGTTTATTAGGTGATGAGCTTTCGTGGGCCAGACCCACTTCCTCAGATCAAATAGTGGAAGAAAATAGTCACAACCATATATACCAAAGGATACAATTAAAAAAAAGAACACATATGAAAAGGACAAATCGCATTTCAGAACAGGAGGAGGATGGTAGTGGAAGAAAATAGTCACAGCCATATATACCAAAGGATACAATTAAAAAATGGAACACATATGAAAAGGACAAATCACATTGCAGAACAGGAGGAGGATGGCTGTTCTGAAATGTGATTTGTCCTTTTCATATGTGTTCCATTTTTTAATTGTATCCTTTGGTATATATGGTTGTGACTATTTTCTTCCACTATTTGATCTGAGGAAGTGGGTCTGGCCCACGAAAGCTCATCACCTAATAAACCATCTTGTTAGTCTTTAAAGTGCTACATTGTCCTGGTTTTGTTTCAGCTGCACTAGACTAACACGGCTCCATTTCTATCACTATTCTGACCTCATCAAAACACACTACTGTTCCATTCCTCCACCAGCCGCATGAGCAGGTTTGCTGAGAGCCCGTTACCCTGTGGTGAATGCTGTCCTGTTTAGGTGGCCTCCTGAGAAAGGGTTGGAGAGCATGAGAATATACTTGCGACTTGCAGCAGCCGTCACCTTCAAAGAGCTGTGAAAAACACCAGCTAATTAATGTTTGCAACCCTTTGGAGGAGGCAAGGGTGCCGGGCTCTGCCTAGCCGTGGGTGTCCAGCACAAAGCATTGTGCTCAGCTGCGTGTCGGTTCCCTTGGCTGTTTCTGACTGATTCATTTACAAAGTTTGTTTCCTCTTTTTATTTTTTGATGAATAGCAGAACTGGAAGTATCAAAGGCCTCTCCTGGCCGATATCTCTGCACTGACTTCCTCTCGTGCTCGACTGTTGCTGCTCACCTCTCCCGCTCCGTCCCCTCAAGCACCCAAATGATCTCCTCGCCAGTAATTCGCCAGCAGGAGTCCTTGAGCAATACTGGTACTGCCTGGCGCCACCTTGCGCTTTCGATTGAGCAGGTCTTAACTGGGGAGGGAAGTGACTAGTTGACTATCCAGTAAGCAAAAGCTTATCAGATAGTTGACACACTAGTCGACTTGTTGCTCCCCCCCCCCTTGCTGCCTCTATCAGAAAGAGGCAGCAAGGGGGGGAGAAGGAGGGAGTGCTGGGCGGAACTGGCTTAAAAGCCAGTTCCCCCCTGGTGTTCCACATTTGAAAAGTACAGGAGTCCCCGCTGGGGCTCTTGAACGTTTCAAAGCGGAAAGGCAGCATGGAGCCTGGGGCCAGTTTCAATCTTTGAAATACACAAGAGCCCCTGCTGGAGCCCTGCGGGCCCTTGCTACATTTCAAAGGGGAAGCGCCCTTATCGATTAATCGAATAGTCGAGGGAAATTCCCTCGCCTATTCGATTAGTTGATTAATTTTAACACCCTGGCTACGTCTACACTGGCATGAATTTCCGAAAATGCTTTCATCAGAAAAGCGCGTCTAGATTGGCAGGATGCTTTTCCACAAAAGCACATTTTGCGGAAAAGCGTCCATGGCCAATCTAGACGCAGTTTTCCACAAAAAAGCCCAGATCGCCTTTTTCCACGGTCGGGGCTTTTTTGCGGAAAACAGTACTGGGCTGTCTACACTGGCCATTTTGCGCAAAAGTCTTTCGGAAAAAGACTTTTGCCCAAATGGGAGCAGCATAGTTTTTCCGGAAAAGCACTGACGATCTCATGTAAAATCATCAGTGCTTTTCCGGAAATTCAAGCGGCCAGTGTAGACAGCTGGCACGTTTTTCCGGAAAAGCAGATGATTTTCTGGAAAAACTTGCCAGTCTAGACACAGCCCCTGGGTCTTAACTAGACCTGCTAAATCGAACGCCAGAAGATTGATCTCTGGCTTGGCAAGTGGAGAGGTGGCCATCAGCTGGTATCCCATCTGCTCACTCCTGGGGCCTATGCCGAAGTTACTTGCTAGCCTAACCTAGGTTGCAAGCTCTTTGGGCCAGGTGCCACTCCTCCCGGTTTGTATTGTACAGAGCCAAGCACACAATAACCATAAAAACGACCAGGGCCCCAAGGAGTGTGAGCTGTGGTGCTGGCAAGCTGAGGCAGCTGCCTAAGTTGGTAACAAGGGGCCTGAGTGTTGGCTCTGGCGCGCTGTGTGCCTGGCAGCGCGGATGCAAACACTGCCAGTCTGAGGTTCACTCCCCAAGACGGAACTGCAAAGTGGAGGCAGATGGGAGCCAGGCCCGAAGTGGTAGGGTGGAGCAGGGAAACACGTGGGTTCAAAACTCCTGTCTGCAGGCGCCTCCCTCTCAAGAACTCTGCTTTCCCGGCTGCAGGCAACGCAACCGTGCCCAAGTACCGGATCGATCTGGATTTAATTTTGGAAAACCTGAAGGAGTTAAATGTGCTGGCTGGGGAAGGCGTGTCTCGGATCGAGCATACTGCGGGGGGTGCCAGACTGAGGCAGCCAGAAGCGGTGTCCCTCACTTTTTATCAGAATGGGATAGTCATGTTCAATGGACCCTTCCGGGCGTATGACGAGCCGTCCACGCAGGTATGGACCAATTCATGGAGGCTGTCGGGTGGCTGCCCTCCGATAGCTGCCTCTGCAAAGGCTGAGGCTTGTGGGGGCTCCCCTGTGGGTTGGTGAGGAACGAAGGCTGCAAGTCTCTTTGTAGGTCTCCTGGTCTGATGCAGGTGGAATGTATCGGCCGCGAGGGAACTATGGAGTCTGGGGCCTGGGTTTTAAGCGTTCGTGCTTTGTTTCAGCAATGCCTTCAGGATCTCATGGACGGCTATTTTCCCTCCGAGCTACAGGCACGCTACCCGGAGGGCGTTCCTTTTCAGGTACGCAATGCAAAGCCCCTGCTGTCTTCCTGTGAGGAGACTATGCAACTGCGGCGCTGTCACTGTTTGCAGTTTCTCAACAGGAAATGAAGTTGGGTGTGTATGTGCCTAGCCCACATGCAGCTAGACTTTGGAGGTGCAGCATGGGAATGCACCTGTTCTAGCCGTTGCCGGAAACGTGGGGGCTTCTGTGTAACAGCTGAGCAGGTTGTCTGCTTCAGTGAACCTTGCCTCAAAGAGACATCTAGGGCAAAACTGCAGAGCTGTAAAAAGCAGCCAAAGGGAGGCAGCTGTGGGGGACAGTAGACTCCAGATCTTCGACTAGATTAGGCACCCAAATCCCATGGAGCTACGTGTGCCTGGCCCCTCTTGAAAATCTGGCCACTTCCATGTAGGTGCCTAGCTTTAGGCATGCAAGTTTGACACTGTCAGGCTGTGGCTGCGGGGCTAGAGCCTCATGGAGGAATGGGAGACACCCAGGGAGGACGTAGGGTACATCTACACAGGACTCGAACACCTGCAGCTGCTCTGCATCCACTCCCTTGGCTGACAGCAGGGCTCTGGGCCATCCCCCTCGCAAGGTCTTAGAGCCTGGGCCCAGGCCAAGCCCAGCCGTCGGATAGCCTGCAGCTTAAGGCTCATGAGCCCCAGGGGGCTCTTGCAGTGTGGGCGGTCTCAGAGTGGCCGTGTGCGTCTTGACAGCCGTGTTCGGCTGAACGGGCGGGGGCTGAAGATGGTGCCTTTGCTTCGTTGGGTCTGACGGTCCTGGCTGCGGGTACGTCCCTTCTGTTAGCACAGGGCAAGGCCACGCCTCGGAGCTATTGCAATTTCACATCACCCAGCATCTGAGGGCCAGTTTTCATAGCTGGGAAACCGAGTCAGGGTCCAAGCAGTGCGCTCGTGTGCACGGCTGGAGCGGTGTGATCACTGGATGTGTCATTGAGTGGCTGACTAGGAGGGTCTTAGGCTAGAAGGGACACGGGGGGAGGGGGGCTAAAGGATCCGTAGACAAGTTCCTTCATAGGGGTTTCCATGGTAAAACCGCCCTCGGGGAACTAGCTTATCTCCGTGTTGCTTGTTCTTGTTTTGCTCTTACTGCTTCCCTTCCGTGTGCGCGGTGCAGGGAGAGCTGGGCTCTCTAATGGCAGCTGGCATTCATTGAACAGGTCACTGACAGGAGAGACGTTTTCTTTCGGGAGAGGCAGCTATCGGAGAACTTTCCTGGCCAGGGGCAGGTAGTTGGTCATTCGAGGTCGAGTGAGGTAAAGGAAACCAGTGAGATCCCAGGTGAGTCCTTTGCCATTCCCGCGAATCCCCGGAGAGCCTCTGCTTACCCCACGGGAGAGGGTGACTAAAGCCCATCCGGCTCCTAGCGAGTTGGTCGAGATCTCTGAGTGCCTAGTGACGTGTCTGAGCGAGGGGTGTGTACGTGCGGCGTGCGGCAGCAGCACCATGCCCCTCAGTGTCACGGTGGCCACGGAAGCACGCGGGCCTGAGACTTCAGCCATTCGTCAATTACCATCCCCCAGGCAGTTTTCCCAGACTGTGCATGAAACCCGCCCACGTCCCGCACGAAACCCAGCGCTCACTGTGACAGAGCTCTTGCCAGCATCGCCCACGGGAGGCCTTGATGAGAGCGGTGGGGGCCTTCCAACCCCTTGTTCCATTGCAGTGGACCTTCCCCGCCCCCCCAGATGCCAGCCTCCTCTTTTCCATCCCTGCTATGTAACAGCACCCCTCCAAGCGGGGGGGAGACACGTGATCTAGGACCAGCCCAGCTTCTGAATTCCAGAAATCTCATGCCAAAAATCCCTCTCGTAGACTGAGAATAACCCTGCTCTGGCTAGAGCTTGCAAGCTCTGGTCCCTCGTGGCGTTGTAGAGTGGCAGTAATACCTGACGATCCAGGCATGTGCATTTCCCATCAGCTCTTGAATCGTATCCTATTATTTATTAGCTCTGAAGAGCAGCCTCTCTGCTGTGGAATTTGGATCACATGCCTTAATGGTGATTTCTAACAGCCCTTTCCCAAAAGTAGGGGTGTGGCAGTGGACACGGTTAAACGTCACACACAAGGCCCCGCCCAGAGGCAGCAGCATGAGGGGGGAAAGCAGGCAGGAGCAGCAGGCTTTTAAGTCAGCTCCCCACATGCACCGGCTCCCGGGGAGCCGCCCCCTCCCCCCTGCGTAAATGTGTAACTGTTGAAAATGTCAGCAGCGCCACGTGGACCAAGACCCAGAGTCCTGTATGTCCCGACCGGTCCATAGTATAATTCTGATGAGCCCCAAAAGTGGAAAATTCTAGTATTAGTACAAGTGCTTGGTTTGATGCGATACAGACGGGGACCCTCCCCCCCAACCCTGTAACTCTCCCCTCCTCTCTTGGGGCAGGTCCCAAGCTCTCACTGGAGCAGTTTCTGAACAAACTTCCTAAATGCTTGGTCCAGAAGGGACACGTGATTGACGTCCGAGGGCCAATCAAAGAAACGCTGCAGGTATGACAGAGCCTTGCACACGCTGAGCCATGGCTGGGTGAGACTCACATTTAGGTCAATCTAGCAACACCTCTAAGGGTATGAAAAGCACCTCTGAGCTCATGCAGATCTAACACCCACGACCGTGCTGAACTTCAACATTTACTCCCCATTTTGCTGCAAGGGGAGCAAGTACTTTCCTTTGAGAAGTTAAATGATGAGAATTAAACTCTTTGTGCCCATACTGAACATTAGAAGGATGTAGACCAATCTAGTTGTATTGGGCCTGTCTTCTTGGATTAAAATGGCTACTAATTGATTAGTTTATACTTTAAAGTGCTACCAGACTATTTGTTGTTTTTTAAAACCAACAAAACATGTAGATGGTATTCTGGGCTGTGCCCACGAAAGCTCATGATACCATCTACATGGTTTGTTATTCTCTAAAGTGTTACCAGACTGTTTTGTTGGTTTTTTAAGTTTATCCCAAGTAATTACAGACCGACTTGGCTACCCCCCAAAGCTTTTGATTAGTTTATGTAGGAGTTGTTAGATTAGAAGAAGCCCCAGTCCAGATCAGGACCAATCCAGGCAAATTTTTTAAAATAAAAATTGTGTAATTTGGTACAGAGTTTGAAAGCTGTGTTTGTTATCCACTGGAGAAACCTGCCTGCTGCGGTGCAAGGTTTTGTGATGCTAGTTGAGGCTGAAGAAGGGGGCTGATCCAATGGTTTGGGGGTAGCCTGCTACATGGAAGCCTGGCTTCAGGTTCCTGCATATTTAAAGGTGTTCAGACACCTGAGGATGTGGCGAAGGGTTGAGGCCCTCCTGGAAATCCTGATACATTCCTGCCTGCATCTTTAGGTGCCTAAATTCCTTTAAAATCATCCCATAGTCTCTCTGTGCCTCAGTTCTCCATCTGGACTAGCCCTGCCCTCCCTCACAGGGCTCGGAGGATACATGAGGGGCTCAGAGCCTACAGCAGTGGAGTCTTGGAGAGGATGAACAAGCCAGTGGCCTCTGGAGGACGGGCCGTTCTCCGCCTGTGGCCAGAAAACAGGGGGACCGTCCCCCAGGGATTAATCCAGGAAAACTGGGCAGATTGTAGCCGATGGTTCCGTTTGGTTTCAGGGCTCTGCTGGGACACGCAGCAATGAAGTGATCCTGGTGGAGACGCCCATCCTGGGAGCACTGAAGGAGAGGTAACGAGCAGTGGCCCCTTGGTCTCTCCTCTCCGGCCACCAGCCACAGTTCAAGGCAACCGATTGCCCATTTCTGCTGCTTTGTGATGGGCACGGGGCCTGCCAAGGGAAGGAGCGTGCGTGGGTGTAAAACCAAAGCCGCTTCCCTTTCACTGCTTGGTTTCTTGTTGGGAGCTAGCAGGGAGGCCCGGTTTGGTCTCTCCTAGTTTTGGGAGCCCGCTGAGATGTCCATGGTGAACCTGCCATCTTCCTTTGACTCTTTAGCAGGCTTCCCTTCTCCTAGCTAGCCTGGGTGTGAAAGGGGTGTCCACAAGCCATCGACCCAGCCTGGCTATAAATCCCCCTTGGAATGGGGCAGTGTCCCCAGGGAAGAGCTGAGCAGAGGGGGTCGCCATGTCCCCCGTTTTCCAGGCTAGACGAGACCCGAATGTCACCTGGAACCAAGCAGGATTGTGTATTTAGAAAAGCAGATAGCCCCGCCAGGCAGCCTTGGTCCCTGGCGAAGGCCTGAGAAAGGGCCCCAGCTGGTCTCAGCAAGGGAAAGCAGCCGTGCTGGACCCGCTGGGCGCAGGGCTGTCTTTCCACGGGCAACCCTGGCAACGGTAAGTAGCCACTGTAGGATGTTTTGGCCCACAATCAGTCAGGGTTCAGGGCCCCGCTAAGGGCACGTCTCCACTACAGGGGCAGACCTGTACCGCTGAAGCTGTGCGGCTGTAAGAGTCCTGTAACTAAACCACCCCCGGGAGTGTCCCCACCCCGGGCTGTTCACCCCAGTGCTTGGCTCTGTGAAGCGCAGGCTCGGCGGGGGGGTTTTTCACACCCCCCCAGCAAAGTGCCCCCCTGCCTCTCTTCCCCCACCCTGCACAACAAGCAAGGGGCTCCCAGGGGGCAGCTCTGAGGCTCTGGGCAGGAGCAGCAGGGCAGTGGGGGGAGGGGAAGCTGTAGCGCTGGCACTTGACAACTTCCCAGCCAAACCAGTGAGGACCCCCTGCCCGAGGCTCCGAGATCGACCGGTAGATCCCGATCGACGGGTTGCTGACCACTGCCTTAACTTGTGAAGCTGCGCTCCTCTGCTAGCGCCCCTTGCCCAGGGTGTCTCCTGGTGCTCTGGCCAGCCCAGCCCACTTGGCCCGGCTGCTCAGTCCGTGTCTGTCCGGCAGGTTGAAGGCAGGCAAACAGGCTCCGCCTCCAGCCACCAACATTTCCACTCTCCGGATCAAATCTGAGAGCGGGGAGCAGACCTACATTGTGACAATGCTCTTCACAGAGACCATCGGGGACCTGCGCCAGCACCTCGCCCAGGCTCGGTGGGTACAGCGCTAGGCCGGCGCAGGAGGGAGGGCTGCTGCAAGCCAGCTGAACGCCTCCACCCCCTTGGGCAGGCCACAGTGAAAACTGGGCCAGTGGCGTTTCCAGATCCCTCCTGATCCCTGGACGCAGGGGGCTGGGAGAACTCTGCAGTGTAAGTCCAGCAGGCGCAGGCTCTAGGGATGGGAATAGTTAACGGTGCCTCGCCCTTACCATTCAGGCTTACTGATTGCGACAAGCCAGTGTGGGTTGGAGCATCCCCCCCACAGGGCCCTCTGAGGGCAGGCGCACTCCAGCCTGGCCAGAGCAGCCCTTGTCCTCAGCAAGCCTGGCCGGGTGTGGGCTCCCGCTCGCCCCCTTTAACCGGTGAAACAACATTTAACCAGTTAACTAGTTCAATGGGATGTCACATCCCTAGCAGGATCCCAGGGTCTACGCCTGCTGGGCCCCTCAGCAGCCATTGAGGCTGGGGGGGGTGGCGGGGGT